CGCTCCTCAGCACCGTTCCTTTCTGTGGTGGCTGCCTTTGGTTTTTCTTGCCTTGCCCAGGAACTCCTGGCAGACTTCTGAGTAGTGTTTCAATTGTGTCAAATGAGTTTCAACATCTCTCTTCAGCTGTGGCTTGCTTCCTGAAGCTGTAGCACGCTTAATACATAACTTTGGTTTTAAATGTAAGGTTTTTAGGGAAACGTGGCCTTAGCAGAGGGTTTATTGGCATGTGAGCTGACGCAGGCTGTCCTGTTTCAGGAACTTGCTTGGTTTTGGGGGGGGGGGGGGGGATTGGCACCTTTCAGGTGCATAGTGGGCCTCTGCGGCTGCATTCGTAAAAAAAGACTTAATGTGGAAATGAATCATTCACCTGGTGTAGCGTGCCTAAAGCTGGAACAACATTCATTTGTTCTGGTCTTAGGATTACTAAATGGCCCTTAAATATGTAATCTACCATGTGGAAAATGGTAAGAGGTGGTAAATGCTCTTCTGTGAAAGTTCTCTAGTAATTCACCCTGTCTGAGCATTTGGGATTTATTGCTTTGTCTTGCAAGTGACCTGCAAGTGGAAAGAGAGCTCCCCGTTTTTTCTTCGTATGGAAAGCTCTTGCACCCTCTTCCCCAGCCATCCCGACTATCCCCACCCTTAAAGAAAAGGGAATTTCGTACTGCTCTTTATACTGAAAGTGAAATAATGTCCCGCCAGCAGCAGTTACAGGTCTTGCTGACGCCTGTTTGCTGTGCATACATGTGACGTCCCAAGAGCCTACGCCGTGGGCTGTGCCTTCTGGGCAGGTGCCTGCAGGGTGTCCGAGTCCCCATCCCTGGTAGGGCTCAGAGGCCGGCTGGAGGAGGCCAGGACAGCTGGATCTAGCTTGGACATCACCCTGCTCCAAATGGGAACTTGGACTAGATGGGTCTTTCCATGTTTTATAGCCACTTAATAACTCTGGGAGAATTTTGAAGACTTTTTTCCCCTCTACTAAATGAGAACTTGAGCTGCAATGGTAGAATAGAAGGGAATTCTTGTGCTTCCATGCAGAAAAATGGGACAAGATTCGGTCCTTGTGATGGGGAAGGTAAAACTGTGTGTTTGTGGACAAACTTGCAGGAGGATTTGAGGCAAATATGGTAGAGAAATTACTTTTTTGTTTGATTTTTGGTTTCAGTGTTGGAGGATTTTTTTTCTTCCTTCCTGTTCTGGCAGTTCAGTTAATTTGAAAAACTTTATTAGACTGGGAGGTGTTCTCTGTCTCCTGTCCCTGCGGGGTTTCCTAAAAGAAGAAAAGTGAGGCAAATGTAAAGTTGATTCATCTTAAAAAACAAACAAAAAAACCCTACCAAACCAACCCCAAAAAAACCACAAAGGAAGTCTCAAATCTGGAGTGGATGTATTCTCCATGCCAGTTAGGTGTGCAGAAGTATGTATGTAAAACTGTTTTATGCTTTTGGAGGTTTGCCTTGTTCAGAGGCTAGGTTTCAATTGTAACGAATGTAGGGTACTGCTGGGGAGAGTTTTGGTTGTAGCACCTTAGGATTAACAGCAGAAGCTTCTGTTGGTACACTCAATTTCATCAGCGTTCTTTTTCCAGGCTCCTTGCATGTTATGAACAGAAAATGCCATCCTGCACTCTTCTAGGTGAATGTTTAGGAAACACGATGACTTTATTAAATAGCTTTCAAACTTTCAAGCTCATATTGAAAGTTTCAGTGTGTTTCTTTTTTTTTTTTTTTTTTTTTAAGCTTTATGTAAATGTGACTTTTAAACCAGCAAGTGTGAGTCCCAGGTGGGGTTTTTGTTGGCTTGGTAGATTTTGTTACATTGGGGGGTTTTGTTGTTTGGATTTTTTTTTTCCTGTAATTCCTTGGGTACGTCTGTGCAGTGAGTGCTGCTGGCTGCTCCAGATTTGTCTGCAGTAGTGCAGGCTAATGAAGTGTACCTGTGCCGTGTGGGGACAGAGGAGGTAGTGGTGCAGCATTTATGTGGGGGTGGCTAAATTCCCAGCTGTGGACCCGCCTTCTGTGGGAGCTGACGTCTCTGTGGGGACAAGGATGTGCTGACTTGTAGGGGTGTCAATGAGAAACTGTTTTCTGCTGTCAGAAAGCTAAGGTTTCATATTTAGCAGAGTGATCCAGGTGTGGTAGTTTAGGAGCATTTGAACAGTACTTCCTGATGCCTCATTCAAAGCCTATATTGAAATATTTGGGTCCTGTTATGCAATGTTGTGATGAGTGTTCCCTTTCCGCTTATTAAAATATTGCATAAATTTCAACACTTCTTACCAGTGGGCTGAAGAAATAGATATGGCAGCAATGTGTGTACTTGAAAAGCTTAAAGATGTTTGAGTGGAAAATGAGTTTTATTTGTATCTTAGTTTGGAGTTAAACCATTAAAACTTACCCACAAAATAATTAGGTTTCCTATCTTTCAGTATTACAGAAAAGCTCAACCCAAAAGTTGCGGTTTACACCTTTGCCAGACCTCTGTATACCTTGTGTTAAGGTTTCTCTGGAGTGAAGTTTGCGTCAAGCAGACCCAGTTGGCTTCTAGTCTGCAAAGCTGTTAAGTTTAATCTTGTTCCAGTTTAATTTTAATGTCATGGATTGAAATTATATGCATGGCCATTTTTCTCTTTTGCGAAGAGCTGGATTTGGAACGAAAGCAAAATGGCTCGAGGACGCAAGAGCAATAGCATCAAACAGAGCGACTTCACTAACAGCACCAATCCTCAGGATTTAGAGAGAAGACTTTTTATCGGCAATTTGCCCACAGACCACATGACTCGTGAAGAAATGGAAGAGATATTTTCAAAATATGGCAAAATCAGGGGTTAGTATATTATCTTATGCCTTTTTGTGGCTGGGAATTCAGTGAGAAATGTGCCTTTCGTGCTTGTCAAATGCTATTTGATGATGGTGAGAGGAGTGGCTAATGTTGTTCCTAAAAAGTGACCTTTTAATGATAATTTCTTCTGCCTGCATTTTCTCTGAAAAAGTTAAAGTCCAGCTGAAAGATAACGCGTATATATCAGCTATGTTTTAGCCTTTGGGGTGCCAGTGTGATGTTACCATATTCTCTTGTGTGACTTTATAGTCGCTTAACCAAACCTTGGTCACTTCGTGGGCTGTATTTTGATCACTGCCTTGTCAGAAGGAAGTTGATCTACGAAATACATTTATTTCAGAGTTTTTAAGCTCTGCATGTTGATCCTGGTAGATGTGGTTTTCCCAGGAAGCTTGCATAGTCGTTTCTGGGTAGAGTCTCTCTGCTTGTTCATCTGGTGGGTTACGTGATGGCCTGGGTGTGGGTTAGTACTGTCCCTTAGTTGTAACTGGTCTTGCCCTGCTGTTAACTTTTCCAGCCCTCAGCATGTACCATGGCTATGGGTTCGTGCAGTATGACCGTCTAGAAGATGTCCAGGCCGCTCTGGACGGTGAGAAGGGTCGCCTTTATAAAGGGTATAGATTAGGTAAGGAAAACTGATCCGTGCTCTCCTCCTGACCCTAGCATGCGTTCTGGTAGAAAGAGTGCTTTTGTTTAAAGCTCTCGGGAAAGATCACCATGTGAAACTTGCCTGGCGCTAGCCTAAAATCACTTCTGCTAGGTACCTGTTTGCCTTCTGAGTTATTTGCTGCCAGTGCTGTGTGGTTCATCTGCAGTGTTTCCTCTTGCTACCTAGGTCTTACTCTGAACTTATTTTTATGTGTTAGTATTTGAAAAGCTCCATTACCCTGTGTAAGAAACTGTTCAATGTGTAAGCCCAGGAAAGCGGTTATTGAACCCGCGTACACATAGTTTTAAAAACATCTGTAAACCAGTATCAGGCTTCATCTTGATGGGTTCAGAGGAATTGGTCACAGCACTCAGCGGCTTCTTAGATAAGTAATCTTGACTTGGATTTTTTTGCACATGTGAAATCAATCTGTAAGTAGCACTGTAAATACTAGGTGCTTTAAAAAGGCCATTTTCATAAAGATGAAAATAATTCTGCTAAATATGCTGGGAGCAAACAAACAGAAATGAATGGTTAGAAATCCAAGAGTATTGAAATGCAAGCAAAAAATTTACTTTTGAAGTAAGCCTATGCTAATTTAAAGAAAACCAGTCTGACTTAGGAAGGAAGGGAAGGAGCAATAAATAATGACTTGTGGGAAGGTGTGTGTACAGTAGCAAATATGAGCCTGAAGATGGAAATGGAGGCAAATAGACAAGGAGGGTGGAGGGATACAAGAAGAAATTATGGCCAGCGTTGTCACAGTCTAGAAGCTTAAATAGGAACAACTGCGGCTGTGTTTGAAGCTGAGGTGTAACTGTCTGGAAGCGATAAAATTTCTCCCTGGAAAGGACCACCCAGTCTTCAGTTCATAATTCTGCTGTCTGTTTTTGAAGAGGCAGGAGGTGTTGGGTTTTATATAGCTTTCATTTCAGTAGCAAACTAAAAAAGGTAAAACAGCAGCTACCAAAACTAGATCTCTCCGAAAAATTAAATCTAACTAACATCTATGAGGCTCATTGAAATGAAGACCCGCCTAGGCTATTAATGTCGTTTTTCCACAAGCCTTGGAAAACTAGGGAGTTTCCAGGGACCTAGCAGAGCGCTGCGGATCTGCCAATAGGCAGCATAAATGGGATGAGCCTGGCATCAGCCCTGGTAACCGAGGGATTCTTTCACCTGACACTCGGTGAGAAATGAATTAATTAATGCCAATCAAAATAAAACCTGTCAAACTAACTTAATTCTTATGATACTGCAAGTTTTATGGCTGAAAGTAGCAGCGTTGATGTAAAAGACTTCTGTAAGATGCTTGATTTGATTAAGAAACTAGAACAATGAAAACCAACGTAGGGCTAAATGGATTTGAAATGAATCTCAGTGTAACGTAGATGGAATTGCTCCGTGCTTTGAGTGGTGTTCTGGAAGGGTTGATTCCTGGCCATACAGTGCTTTTACAATTGACTTGGAAAGAATACACACAATCATGTTTTAAAAGATAATTAAATAATGAGAAATGAGTCACTGATGGTGAAATGACCTGGACTTCTTCCTGAGCTGGATTCAGGCAGAGCTGAGCTTCCAGTAAAGCCAAGAGGAAAGATCCGCACCTAGCGGGAGTGCTTTTGTCATCCTTAGCTGTACAAAACACACATTTGTAAGTAGGGAGGCTCTGGTACCTGTGGGGTTTTGCTGCTGGAAGGAATACTGTGTTCAGTTCTGGTATGCCTGGTTCAAAAAGGATAATGCTGAATCGGAAAGCCTCAGAAAAATCTGAAGAAGGCTTAAAGAGTTGAAGAACAAGCCCTAGCGAAAGCTGCACGATAAAGGCATGGGGTGATCTGTGTGTTACAGACAGACCTGGAGATAAGTGAGTTTTAATCTAGTAGGCATAGTATGACAAGTCCTTAAATGGAAATAAATAGTTTTCTTTAACAGCAAAGTAATTTACTTCTGGAATAACTTATTGGACCTTTGGTGGTTTCTGTACTCTGAAGACTTTGGAATTGGAATTGCATGTTTTGCTAGAGGGTTAAGCTCTAGTTCAATGCCACTGCTGCACTTGAGATAGAAATGTGATTCAAGAAACTCTTGTCACCTGTGTTTATTCAGAAGGTTGCACTGTGTGATTACAGTGGCCCTGTCATCTCAAAATCCTACAAGACAGAAGACTTTTTTTTTTTTTTATCGGAAGTTTTGTCAATGTTCAAATACTTAACCTGTAAATGCTGTTGGCATTAAATAAAATGTTATTAAATCTGTTTGTTTTGCACAAGAGAAGGATTCCTGTCAAGGGTGTTTTTTTCTTCCAGTAAAATATTTTTGTTCAGATTTAAATACATTTTTTTTATTTGAAAGAAATGTATGGTATTGAGTGTAAAAATCATAATAGGCTTCTGCAATGGCATCTTAAAACAGAAAATAAAAATAATCTTAAACCAAAGAAAGCAGATAGTCTTGCTTAAAGATAACACTTGACCTTAAGGGGGGGAAAAAAATCTCAATTAGAAAATAAATGCAAGGAGAACAGTTGCTTCAGTTATGCAGTCTGAGTGTTAAATATAATCGTAATAACACAATAAGGTAAAAGGCTTTGGGAGAGTTTAACTCCAGTGCTGTGTTATAAATGCTTCCATGAATGCATGGAAGTGTTTTCATACCTTTAATGAGGAAAACCACGTAGGGAATAAGTGTCCGTCAGAGTAGTTTGTGACAGTAGATAATGTAGCTGCGTGTGAGCCTGGAGAGGCTGCTTTGAGGTCCTGTGGATGTTATGCTGCATTTGTAGTTACTGTTCAGGTGGCACTTCTCTCTCTTCCCCCCCAAAAGAGACCACACTGCTGCTTGACTGACAACACAAGCAAAAAAATTAGAACTAATCCCTTATTTCATTACTTTCAAGATTAAAATTAGAAGGATAGTTTGGGAAGTTACAGAAGATGCTAAGACTGAGTCTGCCTAAAGACACTGTGGCACGTTTATTCTCTTGCAAGAGCTTTGAGAGTAGCTAATGTAAAAAAACTAATTAAAAATAAATTTTAATTGTCAGTGGGTTCTCAGAGAGCAGATAGGACCTAAGTTTGTTTTGTTGTTTTCTTTAAAAGGCTGTCAGAGTAAAATGTCTGAAGTCATTTCTGTTTGTTCTTGCCCCCCTCCAGTACATTATTTCATCTTCAGTCAACTGTTACGGAAGGCTTTGTTTCTTCACAGTAGAACCATGTGGGTCCCTGCCAATTCTGGGCAACTTCACTTTTTCTGGTTGAGGACAAGGCTCTGTTTCTTCAGCTCTCTTACTCTTTGTATTTCACTTCATGGTGTTTCTCATGGAGATGCTCAGAAGCCAACCAATTCTCAAATTTCTGATCTGTTGCGTCAGTCTGCATCATGTTAACAGTGGTGTTTTGAATGCACCGTGTTGACCTCATAAGGAGCTTGTGCTTCAGGCTCCTTGGATCCTGTTTCCTCAGGCTGTACAACTTAACGCTGCAGCAGTCCCTTGGAAGGGGGTTGCATGTCCTACTTGAGAACCCTTGGATTGTTTTCAACAAGGGTGGCGGCATGCTCCGTTGAACGGGACTGGCTGTGAACTTAAGACTGTGCTGGCCATCAGCTTCCTTTCTCGGAGGTTTTCAGACTCTGCTTTTTCTCCTAGAGTCCATGAGTCGCTTTCTGCTCGCTCATAGACTGCAGAAGAAAGAGGTTCTCTTATGGAATGAAGAGTCTGGATGTAGGCCTGAACAGAAAGGGTTAAAACTTCACCCAAGCTGTCCACCCTATTTTGAAGTCAGAGAAATCCCTGACAATTTCACTACATTGTACTATCTAAACTTAATAAAAAAAAATGTCAAAGTGGCAATGTCTCTCTGCTGAATGGATTTCCTTGCACCACCTGGATGTTGTTGAGCTTAAGTTGCTTTCATTTGAATTGTGCTGATGATCTTTTTTTGTTCCATAGCATTGAACAGATGGGTTGATTATTCTTTACAGATATTAATAAAGCAGTGGAAAGAAGAAATATGAATAAGGCTTCATCAAGGTCCAGTCCGGCACGAAGGTAAAGTACCTGGAAGCAGTGAGTTATACTAGGAAGGTCAGGCTTTTAGGGCATGAGCCCAGCGGCCTGTGCTAAATGTCTGTGTCTCTTCCCTACCACCACCTCCCCAGTCAGAGATGCTCAAGCGAGACAGTTGGGACATGGCTGCTCCACCTCTCGGAGCCCTTCTGGCGCTGACACCTCGGCAGGCATGAGGGAAACCTCGTGTCTGCTGCTGTTACTACAGCTAAACGTTACATTTTGCAGCACAGGTTGTAAGAGACTCGTGAGGAAGAACGCGCTTGATGTTTGCTCCTGCCTCAAGTGTCAGAGAAGCCAAGGCATATCTAGAGAAGGCCGAGGGGCTGCAGCATTCCCAGTGCCATGCTGCAGAGGACTTCAGGATCTTGCTGCTTCTGATGTCAGAAGCTTCCAGTGCTGAGATGAGACTGGAAAAGAGCACGTGAGCGAAGCACAAGACAGAAAATGTCTCTAATGCACTGTCCCGTCCGCACGTGTGCTTGTGTTGTCAGTACCTGGAGCCAGTCCCCTTCTGTGCAGTTAGTGATGTGTACCTGCCAGCTTCTCCTGGTTCCCCACCCCTTGGTAGGCGCAGTGTGTGCAGCTCCTGCACAGCCTCTGTGTGTGAAGTTACAGGTAGATGGAGAAGACACAGACTGTCCTGTCACAGGAAGGTGACTTCCATTTCCTTTCCATGGCATTACTAGGGAGTGCACGAAGGCGTGCTGTGGTTTACAGCTTGGTCTAAGGTGTGCATCTTCTATGCCTATACTCTAAAGCTTTCCACACAAAGGAGTGTTACGTGTTGGACCTTCCTTGAAGGTCATCAAGCTCTCAAGTGTCTGGTGCACTCTACTAACTTGACCTGTTAAATTACCAAAAATGGGGGGAAAGTGCAACTAGCAAGACATCTACCACCGAAACAACAGAGAACAAGTAGCTGCAGCTCTTGGCATCATCTAGGCCTTTTGTAAGCTGTGCACTTAGCCTGCACAGGGCCAAATGTGCTTGCAGAGACCAGCACATGGGCATTGCCCAGGAAGTGTTTTGGGCACGCCCCTGGGGGTTCCCGTTACGGATGCAGTAAGCCATGGGCCTGGGCAGTGTCAGGTGTGCTCAGCGCTGGCATGAGGCCCCCAAGAATACCACAGCAATATGGGCAGCAGGTGCTGATGGCACATCTTTGGCCTCAATGGTGCTGCTGGTGATTAACGCTGAAGGTGCTGGGCAGCACTGCGGGTGTCTGACAGGCATCTATGCCGTCAGCGTTGGTCCTCAGACCATGTTGCAGAAGGGACAAGCAGCAGGCACTGATCCCATTGGCTTTGGGGCCTGTGTCATCCCGTGTGTATGCAAGAGCAGATGCTCATGTCATGGGTCCAAAGGAGCGCTGGAGGTGTGAGCCATGGGCAGCGGTGCCATGGGCACCAGGCTGTGCACTGGACTACTGCTGCGGCTGCTGAAGGCCTTGGGGCCTCTGTGACAGGCACTGGATTCCAGCTGGCACTGCTGATGCTGTGGCCATCCCATGTCACTGGCACCAGGTCCCAAGCAGCACCATGGGCACAGGTGGCGATGGGGTCACGGGCACCGACCCTGGGCATGGCTGCAGGCGCACAAACAGCGGACAACGGACTCTGGACCACGCTGCGGGCGTGTGAACGACAGCTGCTGACGCCAGGGTGCAGAGTCCCACGCTGTCCCGCAGGCAGCGGTGCTGGGCCAGTGGTACCAGGTCCTGAGCAGATGCGGGCAGTGGTGCTGACGCTGCAGGAGTCTGACCATGGTGACAGAGGTGTGGAAGCAGAAAGCTGCTGTGCCTTCATGCTGCTGCCTCTCTGCAAGCAGCAGGGCAGCGATGCAGATGCAAGAGCAGAGGAGACCCGCGCCACGTCTGTACTTCTGTTGCAGTTGTGCATTGCTCATTCTGGATCTTTTTGTCTCTGCAGATAATTAACGTGGCCTCTTCGGTCACCCCCACTTCAGCTGGAATAAATGTCATATGCCAAACAATTACGCTGCATCTGGCTGTTTTGCTATCTAGTCTTACAGCTACAGAAAGATCAGTTGCTGAACATCCATCAGAGCAAATCAAAGTCTTCCCCTGAGCTTCTGCCATCATTCACTGCAGGTTGGGGGGAAGGGGGCGATGATGTGTATCTCTCATGGGATGTGGTTTCAGTACAGATCACAAACAGAAAGTGGATTTGTGTGTCCAAGAGGCTGAAGGAGTTTACACTTGTCTGTGTGCAAATGCAGTGTTTCTTTTACAGGAGGAGGCTATATGTGCTCTTGGTGGCAACACCGTAGTTTGTATTTTGTATCTGACATAAAAATAGAGAATGCCAGTGCTCCTGCGTATCCCCTGGTGCAGCTGGGTGTCTAACCACCAAAGTCCATGCACAGGCTCCGCACATCCATCTCGTTACTGCCCTCTCTACCCGACACTGAACTTGGGCACGTCAGACTCTGCTCCTGCTGTTCTCTCCAGGTGCCTGCTACGGGGACGCACTGTAGCAGAAGCAGAATTATGTTCTGCTTACCTTTAATAAACTAGGCTGGTAGAGGACTCTCAAAGTCTATCAAGTTTTGGAAATAAAAAGATTCAAAAAGCTGGGGTTTTTTCCGATGGTTGTCAGTATCTTGGGGAAGGAACATTCCAAACACATGAAGCTCAGTAGTTTCTCTGCAAGTTTTTTTTATGTTTGGCTTAGACTACAGTGAAAGTTACGGTTTTTTTCTGGAAAACAAAGTATGACCTGGGAAAAACCCTGCTGTTTTGGGAAAAGATGAAGACTGGAATGTTATTCCTCCTTGCCTCTGAAGACAGTGCAGTACAAAGTCTGACTGAGAGGGATCATTCGGGTGTGACAGAGAAGCCTGCTGCTGCTGAGGATGGGTTTAGTACCCTCTTAACGTGGGGCATCGTAAACATAAGACTGGCATTATAACGAAACTGTCCCCTCGATTCCAGGACACGGTGGTAGCTATCACTGCTTTCTGCTAGCAGCACAAACCCAACCGCAACATGGAACCTACAGTGTCTTTGGTCACGAGCTCCTTTTTTAAACCTATGCCAATAACAAATGATTTCAGGTGTTCTGCTGCCATCAACTAGTGAATTTAATGGATCCCTTGAATGCTCCTGGCTATTGCATATTTGTGGGTATTGGGCTCTAGCACCTTGAATTCTCTCAAAGAATTTGCAAGAACATGTTTGGTAGATGATCTGTGGCTGATGTTGGAGGCCAGAGGCCTTGAAACAATGGTTTCTGAGGTGCCTGTTCACTTCTTCCACAGGTGCTCTACACTTTAGTGATGCTCCATTAAGGAGCTTTCTGGGTCTTGTTTGGCTAAACATTGACATTAAGAAGCAAATATGGCTTGGGGGCAGTTTTTGCTTTTGTGGGATAGGAGGGAGGATTCATCTGCTGAGAGAAGGGTCGCTTTGGCACCTCAGGTAAGAGATCTAGGTAGGGGTGACAGTACTCATGTCGTTAGCAGTCTAATGGGATTTCCCTGGTGTTTTCCTCAGAGAGCCATATGCCTATGGGGATGGCCGAGATGCCAGACGCGACCGCTCCCCTCTTCGGGGGAGCCCACGGAGAGACCCCAGAGATGGCAGGGATGGTAGAAACGGGCGCGATTCCAGAGACACTCGAGATATTCGCGCTAGAGACATGCGTGACGCCAGAGACCACAGGGACCCACGGGACCTGCGAGACCCACGGGATATCAGGGATCCAAGAGACTTGCGGGACCCTCGTGATGTTAGAGATCTTCGTGACCCACGGGAGCCCCTGTACGATCGATACAGGGATCCACGGGATATGAGGAATCCACGAGATGTGAGGGATCCACGGGATATGAGGGATCCACGGGATATGAGAGACCCTCGGGACCCTTTGTACAGGTAATTTCTGTGGGATTGTATTTGCCAACGCATTTTTGTGGTGGCGTCAGGCATTTAAGATAAGGACATTTTTCTGGCTGGGGACAGTTGGGTGCCTGCTTTGCATCTTGTGGGGAGCAGGAGAGTACTCCAGAAATTAAACTTGAGGAAGGTCTGTGTGTGATGCACTGGCGAAAAATTAGATTGTGCTGGAGCATGGAAACCCTTGCTTCTTCTGTAAATGTTGCAGACGAGATGAAGCTTATGACCGTTACCTTCGCCTTGAAGACTACTATCGGCGGAAGGATGACTCTTACTACGACCGTTACAAAGAGTATTTTGATAGAGCACCAGTGAATTCAGAAGGTGAGTACCTGTAACGTTATAAGGGGCAGATTGACATCCCTCCCTCTGGGAGGATGCGGGAGATGCCTGCAGTGCTGAGTGCGTTGTGTTCTGTGATGCTCCGAGCAGGTCCAAAGGGCATTATTTGTTCTGTCCTTGTGGCTTGCTTTCAGACCGTCTGAAGCGTGAGGAGCGGCGCCGAGAGGAGCTGTATCGTCAGTACTACGAGGAAATCAAGAGGCGTTTTGATGCAGAGAGACCTGTGGATTGTTCTGTGATAGTGGTGAATAAACAGACAAAGTAAGAAAACAGTTATGGCCAATTTTACTATTGCATGGTAGAAGAAAATAGAATTAAATTTAGTCCTGCCATGAGGCTGCTTGTCTCACAGGTTGCTCTTGAGAAGCGTGGCTTTAGAGCCCTCAGAAAACTGCAGCTACTGTTGCTGCTGTGAGAATATACGTTGATGAGATGGAGAAATGTTGTATCCTGTGCTTTACTTCTGTTTCCTTCTTGTCACCTATCGCTATTCTTTCTCCTGATGCTTTTCTATCTGCTCTTCATATCAGCCTACTGTCGCGACAGGTTATGGTGGCCTGCACTTGTTACTCATGGGTTGAATGATTGGAACTTATTAATACGTGCCCACCAGCAGCTAGCACAGAGCAGTTGTGAGGGTGGAGTCGTGTGAGTGTTCGTTCCAGAGCTCCTGTCACATTGGTTACTGGGTCAGATGCTGGTCAATGCCGTTAATCCAATGTCCGAGAAGTATAAAATCACTGCTGAAGGTAGTGATGAATGATATCAAAAGCATGTGTAAGCAGTAACCACGGCAATCTCACATGGCAGCCTGAACACTTACTGAGGTGTCCCCACTTGAACATGGGGTGTCTTTTTATCGGGCTGAATGCAGGATTATCTAGAAACAAAAATGCAGGCGATCCCTGTAGAGCAGCGTGCTTCCTCTTGGAATGTAAGGACTTAAAACAGTTTTAGGAGTCAAAGGGACTTGTGCAAAAAATAGTAGTACGTCCTTAGATTGGAGAGCAGGGGCTGTGTTGGGAACAGGGGGGTACACCTATGCCTGGTACAGTGGGAGGGGGACTGTAATGATGGCACCAGTCTGATGTCTATATCTTTACAAATAAATATAATGAAGAATAGCAAAGATGTAAATAAATCCTAGATCTGGGTTGGGTCCTGAAGAAAATGTTTGTTAAGGGGCAATTTAAAGCTCTGTCTCCTTAGCCCTTCAGAAAAAAAGAGTAAGAGTTGCTTTTATTTAACTTTGCTCTATCTGTGAGGTGGAAGGAGTGAGCTGGCGCTTGCCTGATCTGGCAGTAGAAGGCAGAACAGGAAATGTGAACAAGGGACGCGGTGAAGCTAGAAGCACACTTCTGTGGTTTGCTTTTAATGGAGTTGATTACCTATTGGAACAAATCTTGAGAGGAAATTTTAGATTCTTTATCCCTTGGTGACTAAAAGTCTTTGGAAGATACTCTAGCAGAACACGAGTTACTGTACTTCATACAGGGAGAATTTTTTTGTGCAAGAGGATCAGCTTAATATCCTAAGGATCATTTTGGTCTGTAACAGCTACAGACCTTAAGAGCTGGAGCACATTAATAAATCTGGGGTATCGAAGTGCTGATGTCGCCTGTTACAGACCTATTGAAAGATGACTCCCAAATAACTTAGATACACAATTGTAGTAACTTAGAAATCCTTAAAAAGACAGTTGGGGGGGAACAGTTTTAAATGCCCGTTACAATTTCCGCATCCAAAAACAATAAATTGAACCTCTTTCAAAAGGTGCGGGTGCACAAAGGCTGAATTCCTCAGAATTCATATGCAGTCAGTATTGCAGTTTTGGTCCTGAGTATAAGTAAGCTTAAAAAAAAATACTGAAAACTTGAAGCTCAGCCGTGTGAGCAGCGGTTTCTGTTTGGAATGGGAAGTCTGCGAGACAGTGGATGCAGGAACAGTGGATCCATAGATCTGTGTTGGCACCGGGTTAGAGCAGAAAGCAGCTAGTAGAACAAAAGAGCAAGAGCAAGCGTATTTGGAACTCGAGTGAATGTTTGTGGATGGCTAGGTATCCTCGGGTGATTAATCTTCAAGTCCAGCAGTCGGTCTGTGCTACAGTGAATTGGGATAAGGAGCATTTGAACAGTTAAGATACTGAACGTAGCACAAGCAACTGACTTCTGTAGGTTAGCTGCTCTGCTTTGTATCCTTTAGAGCTCTGCAGGCATAAATTACCTTGCTTAATGAGTTCAGTTTAAACACATTTATATGTAAGCAAATGTATAATAATGTAAATGCCTTTGCAAACACTCTCTTTCTCAGCTAAGCTGAGGCTTGATTTGTAATCTGTTTCAGTTAAACTGAAATGACTGATTCAGATCAAAATAAAGGTAGGATATGGGCTTTTATATTGTGGTGATGAGGTTGCTTTAATACCATCCTGTTAAACACTGTGAGCTTGGCAAACCATCAGAAGAGCGAGTCTGAGGTGACAGAGAGGGTGAATGTGCCAGGGTTTCTGTTTCTGTATGTGACTGACTTGTTAAACTCTGCTGGCTTTGCTTTGTGGTAGGGAGTACGCGGAGTCAGTGGGGCGGAAGGTGCGGGATCTGGGCATGGTAGTGGACCTGATCTTCCTCAACACAGAGATGTCCCTGACGCAAGCCCTGGACGATGTGAGCAGAGGAGGGTCTCCTTTTGCCATTGTCATCACCCAGCAGCATCAAGTTCACCGCTCTTGCACTGTTAACATCATGTTTGGCACCCCGCAAGGTACTGAGGTCTCAGTAGGCTGTGTA